ATATATATCTTTGTCCGATTTGCCTTTTATCGTGCACCAAATGTGTAATGTCAGCCCGAATAGTATGGAATTTTGCACATACAACCAGATCAGATATAGCTATAGCTCCCATATATATTGTTCATCCGATTTGTTATTTTTGTCATCCGCAGTCGTAATATGCACTCTGTAACAACTATATGTGGGGAAATATATCAAATGCAGCTCAGAAATACCTTTGCTAATTTTTATCGAGATCGTTTCAGATTTGGATATAGCTCCCATACATAACTTCGTCCGATTGACCTTTTATTGTACACCAATCGTCTAATATTTGCCCGAATAGGATGGAATTTGGCACATGCGACCGAATTGAGTGTAGTAGGAGCTAGTATGCCAAATTTGGTGAAGAGCGGTTCAGATATAGCTATAGGTCCCATATATATTGTTCATCCGATTTGTTGTTTGTTGTTACCCACAGCCAAATACAGCTCAGAAATATCTTTGCCAAATTTATATATATATATATATATATATATATATATATATATAAATATATATATACGTATATATACAACAATATATGGGACCTATAGCTATATCTGAACCGATCTTCACCAAATTTGGCATACTAGCTTCTACTACTATACCATATATATATATATATATATATATATATATATATATATATATATATATATATATATATATATATATATAAGTTTTTATCCGATTTCAAATTATTTTTGCATCAAATGGGCAATAAAAGTCGGAATTTAAAAGATACAAATGCTTCGGCATATTTCGTACTTTCAACTTTAAATTACAATATATATTCATAGAGTGTAAGATTAAATTCTCCCATAAAATCTTTTAATTGTTATGTGGAGCTCTACAAAATTAGCAAAGTGGTATAGGATATCATAAAGTCGGCCCGCCCGACTTTAGGACTTTCTTTACTGGTTATAAAATCGAAGTGTTTTCTTTTTATTTTTTATTTTTTTTTTTTCGAAAACCGCAAAGCGAAAATATTTAATTGTATTTTAAATGCCTGCATTCTTAATGATGTGTTGCATTCTATTGCCGTGTTTTACAATTAAAACCAACCGAAAACCACTTACGAATTATCTCCACCAACCAGTGAAAATAGTTTATGACTTGTTGAGATGTCAGCATTTACAATTTGTTTTAAATTTATTTGCATATTTTTGCCAATGTTATTTATGCCACAAGTTTCGAAGCAAATTTCAAAACTGCCGCCATTTGTTTGGTGTCGGGCATTAAGTGGCATTACAAAATGGCATTACAACAACTCACCAATCATGACTCTGTTGCAAATTTTGAAAAAAAATATGGCTAAATGATTTCATAAATGGTTGTTTGATTGAGTTTTATGGAGATCAACCCACGCAATTTGTGAGCGAACTATAACAACATCGAAGAACATAAGTTATGGGTATTGGATTTTAATTGTAAACTGCTTAAACAACAACATTAGTAATTTTACGTAATTAATTATGGTCTAGGTATAATATCATTAGAACTTCTGAATGTAAAAATATACGATTCAATACAATACACAAAATACCTGCAAAAACTATTCTATGTAAATCGGATACCCATTTACACAAAAGTCTCCTTACTTGTACCCTTTAGATTAAATGCTCTTTAGAGGACATCTATAGATGACAAATTTTCTACAAAACTTCTAAAATAGATGCATTTCTACTGGTGGTTTACATATAGCCAATAGAGAATACTTTACACCTCTTCTGCAGATAGAAAACTTCGCAGGGCAATTTATATAGAAGTCCTAACAAGGTCTACAGTTTTTTTTTTTTTTTTTTTTTTTTTTTTTTTTTTGCAGACATGAAACATTCTATAGATAGAACACCTTTTACATATCCAAGACCATCTATATATTTTTCACAGATGCCAGTTTATAGGGCTCTTAAGACATATTATCCGTTTGCATATCCTCCATAAACTACTGTTTAAGCCTCCTATTCACTATCCAAGATTATTTGTCACAAATTCATTGAAGAAACATTTTTAAAAGTCCATAAATCCTAATTATTAAATCCCTAAAAAAATCCCTGACTTCTGGCCAGAAAAACTTAAAAATATTCTTTAAAACTCTACGGGGTTCTTGAAGATAATTTTTTAAAAAATATGATTTTTTTTAAATATTTTAAAAATTTATAAAATATATGACCAAAATGTTTTTTAAAAAATTTTATTGCTAATATTTAAAAAATGGAAATCCAATTCCACGTTTTACTTATTTTATTATTCAAAATTTTGAACTTTTGTGGGGGAGGTACAAATACAGTGGGACAATAATGTTACTTTTTTCATCCCTACCTATGCCTTATCTAAATTTAACTATACTTTTTTCACACTAGAAAACAAGTAATCAAAGGCTGTGTCCGTGCGGGCACACTACAATTTGTGGTAAAGTGATCTTCCTAGCATTTGTCCTATTACTACGCTCTATGTCGTGTTAATGGGTATTCAAAACAATATTTGAAAATTTCAATTCGTCTCTATTATTTCCTGTTTTGCAGATATTTCTCCGATATTTGTCAACAAAATCATAAGTTTGATTGGGCCAAAAATTATGTAACACCTCGAAATATTGGTTTCCCATATAGGAAAGTATATATGGATCTTCCTATCTCACCAAGCTGAGTCGATCTAGCTATGTATGTCCGTCCGTCCGTCTGTCCATGTTAATTTTTAATCACTCCACAGGTCGCAATTTTCGACCGATTCTCACGAAATTTAAAATGGAGGTGGGGCTAAAGCCAGAATAGAACCCCATTGCTTTTGGAGATGATCGCATAATATTTAGGGGTTGAAATGGACCAAAAACTGAAAAATTTCCTAGTTTTGTAGTTGCTCTATAGGTCGCAATCATAAACCAATCGACGCAGAAGTTAGCATGGGGCTAGAACTTAGGGCTGGGCAGACCCCTTCCAATTTTGATGGTCATCGGGTAATATTCAGTGGTTTCACCCACCATAACATTTGTGTTAAATAAAAGTCAAATTTTCCATTAAACCGCGAATATTTTTAATCCCGGCGAAATCACAAATAGACGAACGAATCAATTCTGACCGTTACGTAGATGCCGATAGTAAATATATGAGATATATATAGCGAAATATATACAATGTATGTATACCAAGGAAGGGGACGTTAGATAGAATGCTTATATCGCAAAAATGGCTGGAACGATTTTTACAAATTTTGTCAACATAGAAGGCTGCCTTGACATTAAAGAATAAAATCTAGAAAAACGCGTAAAAAGATGCCAATAATGATGTTAATATAGATTTTGTATTATTTTGTGACATTTTTTAATTTTTTCTTATTTTTTATCGCATCCGATTTTTTCAATTTGACTTATAATATTGAAGTGTATATTTTAAAATATTTTTTCACCTCCAACATAGGTTGGAGATATTACATACAGATTGCAATTAACGTCCGATCCTCACGAAAATTTTCACAAGGGATGGGTTAGGTTGAGAAGGGCTAGGCCTATTGTTTTCAAAGATGTCAGCAATATATTTAGGGATTGAAATGGATCAACAACTAAAAATGTTCCTGATTTTGCAGCCGTTATAAAGGTCACAAATATAAAGCAAAGGACACGAAATCTCGCAAGAAGTTAGAGTTTAGGACAGCGGATAGAATATACCACTACTTTTGTGTGAAAAATACCAACATTACTTACAGACGATATCCGAAAAACACAAAAGGCGAATTTCTGGCTTTTTTATGCTGATTTCGTAGACGAATATAGCCAAATATCGTAGACAAGCAAATTTTATAGATGAGTCTCAATGTGGAGATACAGAGGGGCCTCTTGCTCTTGGAGATAATCGCAAAATATTTAGGGGTTCAAATGAACCAAAAACAGAAAAAATGTCCTGATCACACAATTGAGGCCAATCAATACGCCTAAGAAGAGAGTTCAGGACAGGGAAGAATTCTAGCATTTTGGATGACCATTGGATTATATTTAGCTGTAAAATGGACCACAACAACTAACAGCACGACGGATTACGTAAATATTGGACAAATGTCCTTGGTCGAAATGCTAAGAGTATTATCTGGGCAGTGCTCTTTGATATAATTTCAAATACGAAATCTTCAAAAAATGTGTGGACATGGGTTTTTAAGATATTGTAGTGTTGTAGGGTATTATATGGCCGGCCTGGCACGAATACAGCTTTGCTTACTTGTTTTTGCTATAATTATTGATTCGAAAATTTTAAATTTACCGTTTTCTTACTTAACAAGTAAAAAGTAGTTAGTGCGGCCGAGTCGAACTTTGATTACCCTCCACCATTTGGGACGAATTAGGACATTAAAAAAAAAATAAAATCCATTCAACATTCTGTTAAAATCTTAAAAGTACAGAATATCGGAAGGTGCCGATATATGGGGGATATACGTTATTGTGGAGCTATACAGACAAAAATCATCCAAATACCGAATATGTGGTGAACCGTTATATGGGGGCTATATCTTGGACCTATATAAATAATTCTCTTTCAGGGGATAACGTACTCACACGGAACTCCTTGTGTGAGTTTTCAGACTATTCTGTTGAAGAATGTTGCAAATATCATCAAAATACCCAAAATCGGGGGTACCGATATAGACCATTTTCGAACTTGACCTGCCTGCAGACAAAAGACAGATCTATGCAAAATTTTAGCTTCCTGCCTTAACTCGTTTTGACTTTAGGGTGATTTCAACAGACGGACGAAGCGTCTTAGAACTTTACGCTGATCATTTCGAAGAGTTACAAATGGAATGACGAACTTAATATACCCTCCATGCTATGTATGGTGGAGGGTATAAAAATTCTGGAATGTTGTAAAAAAAACCCTAAACTTCAATATTCAGTATTTTAAAACAATTTTTACTTTTTTAATCTACCATCCCCATTAATTATCATCCTATACTAAAACAATTCTCTCTCTTCCTCTCCATTTCAATTTCAGTTTATGGCAAACGTGTCATATCACGTTCATGTTTCTACGAAGACATTGATGATCCAGCAGATAAATGTGCCCGTGACACCACCTCGTCGTACATTAAGACCGTATTCTGTGAGACGTGCAACTCGGATGGCTGCAATGGAGTATCGGGACTGATGCCCTATGGGACGCTATTGGCGTTGACAGCATTGCTGGTCAAATTAATCAAATAAATAAAAAGAGAAAGCAATTCAGTTTGCGTTCAGCACTTACCTCCCCACGAAAAAAAAAATGAAAAAAAGAAAGATAACTTAAAGCGAGTTGGAACCCCAGTTTTTGGAGTTTTACAAAATGCGCTTTAAAACTCGAACCTCTTTAAATAATAATAAAAAAATTATATCAAATCATTGTTAGTTTTTAAGCAAAACAAAAAAAGTATACAGAAAATTTTGTAAATTTATTCATGTTTATATTTCAGTTTTCGTTTGGATTAGCTATTAGAAAAAAAACTAATATTTGGGTAACAATTTTGATTTGTAAAATTAATATTTTTGTAATATTATTTTGAGTTTAGTAAAGCTTTAAATAAAAAGAAAATAATTTATTTAATTTAAAATACATTAACTTAACTGGTTTAAGAAAATTTGCATTACTGTTGTTTAAACAAAAAATAAATAAATAAAATTCTTATTTAAGCAATGAAATAAATTGTACGATGTCTACACCAACACAACCATATATTCACGAATCAACACTTATCCCCCCAACACCTGTACTGTAAATGAATAAATCTGCACAGCATTCAAACATGTTACAATAATAACCAGATACAAACATCCACACAACCAATCAATAAAACGAAAAATCGATTATATAATTAACTAGCTGGCCCGGTCCGCGTTGCCGGCCCTTACTTTTAGTCTTTAATGCATATTTTTTTAAGCATTATAGAATTATGAAAGCGGCACAATTTTTATTATAAGTAAAATAACTCCATAGTAATTTCTAAATAGAAATAAACATTCATGGGAAAAATTATAATAGATAATAATCTACCGTCGGTTTTAGATATTTTGAATAGCCTGATCTTATTTTTCAGCCTAAGGCTATAATTGAGTGTTAAAAACCTGTATGATATAGAACTTCTATAATAGCCCCATGTGAAAACTCAGCTAAATTTTTGGTATTGAATTTCCAATGTTAAGAATACCGTGCTGCGTGGTATTTAGTTTTGTCCACCTCATAATTGAGGGCGGAATGATTTCAAAATAGTCAAAGATAATAGCTTTTTTACACCCATTACCGTGAAATATTAATTAATTTATTTTTGTCATTTAAATTGTGAGTTGGAGAACCCATAAAGTCCATATTTTTCATCATAGTATAATTCAATAACGAACAAAAAAATTAATATTCGTGATTTTTTCATGTTTCTGCCACAATTTGATATTTCGGAGTTTATGGCATGTAGATGTTAATCCCACATCTACGTTCCCAACCAATATTCTCTTGGGAGTTTCAAATTCAATAGTATATCAAATTTTCTTTTCTGACCAAACATTGGTTAGGAAAGCGGATTTGTGGGTACACTAATGTGAGAACTATACTCGAATAAATGCCTATGTGGACAATTATCTGAGGGACGATTCTCTACCCCAAAGTTGCCTAAATACAATTTTTTAGCCAAATCAATTGATGAATGTGGTCAAGACCAAGATGAACTCTACTCCGAAAATTGAAAATATTATGAGAAGAGGTTTTTTACACCCTTAGAAACAAAGATGCCTAATAAAGGCCTAAAGATGAAAAAAATGTCGAAGACCCCGAACATGGCTTAAATTATATGATGGTTATACCAAAACATGATCATATTTTGCGAGGATGGTTTCTTATCAAATTAAAATGGGTGTGAGAAAAATGTGGTTAAAATGTAAACAGTACTTGAAATAGGGTTGTACCCTTATCCGGGGGTCATATATCATGACCTGCAAAAGCGATTTAAGACATCTTGAAAGTTTAGGAACAATTTCTTTCTTTTTTCCTAAATGTCCAATTCGCTCTACCATTTTGCACCCTTTATATTCGGTATTTCACTGACTGCAGTTCCAATGAATTGCATTTTGAGTTCTCATTGGGCGGATTATTGCCATATGAAAGATGTAGGTCCACGTAGGTCACTCATTTTATTTTAAATATTATTCATTCAGATTTCAAGGCAATAAAAAATGTTCACTTCAATATAGTATGTCAAATTGAAAAAAATCACACCAAAAAGAAATTTGTTATTAATATTTTTATTGGATACCATTCCAAAATTGTATGAATTGTCAAGCCGTTCTTTAGTTATACCTTATGTAATTTTTTCCCCGATTTGAGAATTTTTGCAATGAGATCTCTTTTTTCAAGATTTTTAGAAATTTTGACTTAAATTTGGTGTGACCGCGTTAAATTATTTCGATAACATCTATTTCGTTTCGCCACCACATAATTTGGTACTACACTTCAATGTAACCCGGCTTCTATTTCAGTTCTCAAGAAATCGAGTCAAAATAAATTGGTATTAATATTCGAATCAAAAAGAAAAAAAAAAATATTAAAAAAACACTACAAATGTACATTCGAAAAAAGTAAGTCAAAATAGAAAAAAAAACATACAAAATAAAACATTACGATTGTACATTTCAGAAGTCAAAATGAAAATGTTAATATATCACATTTTTACGCGATTTTTTTGAATATTATCCTTTTCGGAAAAGAGACAATTCAGAATTTGTATGAATCGTTAAAATCAGATCAGCGGTTCTTGAGTTATAAGCGTAGTAACTAACACAACTTACATTTATATATATAGATATTTTCTAGTATTATTTTATAAATTTCGAATAAAAAAGAAAATATAAAAATATATAATTTTTTTAATTGGGAAAAAATAAAAATATGTAGATATGAAGATTTACTAAAAATATACATAAGCGGGGTTTCAGGAACACCTATTGAGGTTTTCTATAGAATATGGCATTCCTTGAGGTCTCTATGGAAAGCCGACACTGCTTCAAAAGACTTCTAAAACATGCCTTCTTTGAGCTCTTCTATGGAAGAAGACTTCCTTTAAGCTCTCTAGAGGAGAAGACCTCCCTTGTGGACGTCTGGAGTGGACCTTTGAGGTCATATGGAGGAGTCTTGGGGTCTTCTAGTGAAGAAGACCTCTCCTGAGGTCTTCTAGAGACGAAGACCTCTCCTGGGGTCTTCTACAGACGAAGACCTCTCCCTTGAGGTCTTCTACAGACGAAGACCTCTCCCTTGAGGTCTTCTATAGACGAAGACCTCTCCCTTGAGGTCTTCTATAGACGAAGACCTCTCTCTTGAGATCTTCTATAGACGAAGACCTCCCTTGAGGTCTTCTATATAGACGAAGACCTCCCTTGAGGTCTTCTATATAGACGAAGACCTCCCTTGAGGTCTTCTATATAGACGAAGACCTCCCTTGAGGTCTTCTATATAGACGAAGACCTCCCTTGAGGTCTTCTATATAGACGAAGACCTCCCTTGAGGTCTTCTATATAGACGAAGACCTCCCTTGAGGTCTTCTATATAGACGAAGACCTCCCTTGAGATCTTCTATATAGACGAAGACCCCCTTTGAGATCTTCTATGGACGAAGACCTCTCTTTAGGTCTTTCATGGACAAAGACATCTCTTTAGGTCTTCCATGGACGAAGACCTCTCTTTAGGTCTTCCATGGACGAAGACCTCTCTTTAGGTCTTCCATGGACGAAGACCTCTCTTGAGGTCTTCTATGGACGAAGACCCCCTTTGAGATCTTCTATGGACGAAGACCTATCTTTAGGTCTTCCATGGACAAAGACCTCTCTTTAGGTCTTCCATGGACGAAGACCTCCCATGAGGTCTTCTATGGAAGAAGACCTCCCATGAGGTCTTCTATGGAAGAAGACCTCCCATGAGGTCTTCTATGGAAGAAGACCTCCCATGAGGTCTTCTATGGAAGAAGACCTCCCATGAGGTCTTCTATGGAAGAAGACCTCCCATGAGGTCTTCTATGGAAGAAAACCTCCCATGAGGTCTTCTATGGAAGAAGACCTCCCTTGAGTTCTTTTATGGAAAAAGACCTCTCCAGAGGTCTTCTATGGAAGAGGACTCCTCCTGGGATTCTTCTATTGAGGAGGTCTTCTATGGAGGGAGACCTCCCTTGAGGTCTTCTGTAAGAGAAAATATCCTTGAGGTCTTCTATAGGAGAAGACATCACTTGAGGTAAGTATTTTGACTTTTTTTTCCAGAAATGCAGATCTCTTGGCATTTCATTCTGCAAATTGCAAATGAATAGAATATCAAATGCAACCATTGGCATATTTTCAATTTGCTTGCAGTCGATAAGAAACACACAAAGATTACATTTTAACTGCCAATAAACTTAGTTAATTACAAAATTGTTTCATGTTTCAGTATTCGCGAAGGTGATAAAAAATCCGTTGGCACAAAAATGCATTGGACTTTTTTCAGCAATAAGTTTCGACTATTAAAATAGCAATGATGGCAGGGAATTATTTGTTTGGCACACTGTCAGAACTGTCAATGACAACAGTGAAGGCGGCTGCGTCATCATTTAAAACATTTTCTATGGAACCAAAACATCCAACCAGTTGCAGTTGCACCCACAACGATTACAACATTTTTCATTTGCCAGACAAATCATTGGCATTCAAAAGGAAAAAATAAAGGATTAATGGGCAACAATAAAATCATGTTTTTTATGAACTCTGAATTCCCCCCTTGGGCTGCAATTTCGAAATTAAAGCAAAACACAAATTGAAGTCACCACCTCGAATCATGTCGCTCAAACCAGAAAAAAAAAATCGCAAAACAGAAAACTCAACAAGTCTCTCCCTGAGAGTCGTAAACCCACATTCAAAATATTTTATAACAAAAGTTTCGCTTGAAGGGGAACACTCCGGCCAATGCGACTCAATTAGAATGTCACTGTCATCGCTGTTGAAGGGTGAGGTTGGCGGGGGATACCAAAATGCAACAACGCCAAACGCATAGTTTATGACCAATGAATGGACTCACAGACAAACATACAGACGGACACACAAACGCGGGCATTAAGGAGCGCATGATGGCGGTCCATGTGGACGAATTAATTAAAGCTGCAGATTTATGTTGATTAATGAACATGCAGACTTTACGACCGGTATTAGAGTTTGGCCTAAAGCTGAACTCATAAAATACATGTGGAAAACATACAGATATGGAAATTATGTAAATCGCATAAAAAGTACAGCATGTTTGTTTACATTGAATGTTGTAAATGGTTTCTTAGAATAATAAACTAGAAAAGGTAAAATATTTAATATTTTCTTAATAGATTAAATTTGGGTAGGATGAAAGGATAAAAGAATAATGTGAATAAAGTAGCAAGTACTAGCAGTCGCGATAGTCCTTGAAAAAAATTTAAAAAATTTGATTTTTTCCTTGCTAAATATTTTTTATGCCCACGATTATCGTACTTGGAAAAATACTCCAATATTATTATCGATTATTGCTTTAATAATCTCAGAAATATATTCTTAGCAATTGTCGATTATGGCTCTGATGGTCTTTGAAAAAATATTTGTTTTAAAAATCCACAATTATTACTC